GAAAACGATCTTCTAAATGCTGGCAGGGCATATAAGCTGCATTGCAATGTATTTGCTGCTGCTGTTGTTGCTGCTTTCGATTTTGCTCTTCTCCATCAACTGAGCCTCATTTAAAAAACATGAACAACTTGAGTGCACTGCTGCAATATGTATGCGCGCCGCCACTCACTTACATTTGAATGCATTTTTACAACGTATGTACATATGAATGTATGAAAGGCTACATATTTATATGCATATAAATATGTATGTATGCATTTATATATGTAGTAGGGTGATTGACTAGGCTTTTCCAACCGGTTTCCGCCGTTTTTTTTTTAATATTTTCAGTTGGTTTTTTGAAATATTTATTATTCGAATACCGAGTAAACCGTATTTTTGCATTGGAATAAAGCGAGTTTTCACCTATAGTTTATTTATATACCAGAATCTAGACTTCATAATTTTATTTTATTGAATAACTGCTCTTGATTGTAATTGGCTCAACACATGAAAAAGTGGAAAAAAGCAACAAGCATTCACAAGGCGAACTTGGCACAGTGCGTAGGCAACTGTCTGAGTCATTGGGATCGTCGGTTCGAATCCTACTGAAAGAAGTTTGATGAGGAAATGTGGTGATTTCCGATATAGCTATCACTTCTACTATTTTTTCAAATTATTGTTGCTTTTCTACAATAAATTTTTCATTAAAAATGGCCTAAAGCTCAATAAAAATTGTTAAACATTTTTATTAATTTTATATTTATTTTTTACCACCCTCATCTCGAAAGCTTCTGAATTGATTTGAATTTTAGTACTTAGAATATCTATGTGGTTGCCACCTGTCTAAAAAGTTATAAGATCTTCACCGTTCGTTGGATTAAAAATTGAGATATCAAGCGAAAGGATATAGTCTGCGGATGTTCAATAAGCTTTTATTTATTTTTTTAGTGGGGTTGCGCCAATTTAAAAATGTTTAATTTACATGAAATACGTGAAGGAATTTTTTGTCAATTTAAAAAAATTAAGTATAAAATGAAAGGGCTTGGTTTTGTTTTTTTGGAAGAGGGTTGCCGCCTGTGGGATAAATTATAAGATGTGGGCTGGTCGTTGGACTAAAAAGTGCGGTGTCAAATGAAAGGACTTTTCCTCCAGATGTCAAAAGTATATTTTTAAGTAGAGTTATTGCCTTCCTTTTAATGGGGTGTTATTTTTAGTACTTAGAATTTCTATGGGGTTGCCACCTGTCTAAAAAAATAATAATATCGGCACCGTTCTTTGGATTAGAAGAAATTAGGTATCAAGTGGAAGGGCTTGTCCTCAAGATCAGCAATAATGTATTATTTTTAGAGTAGGGTTACCACCTGTTTAAAAATTATAAGATCTTCACCGTTCGTTGGATTAAAAAATGACATACCAAGTGAAAGGATATAGTCTGCGGATGTTCAATAAGCTTTTATTTATTTTTTTAGTGGGGTTGCCACCTATTTAAAAATGTTTAATTTACATGAAATACGTGAAGGAATTTTTTGTCAATTTAAAAAAGTAAGGTATAAAATGAAAGGGCTTGGTTTTGTTATACATATATAATCGAGTTCTTCTGGTCAAAAAACTATAAGTTAATCTTAAGTAGACTCGATTGCTAAAGCAACAGTTTTTTGACCGGAAGAACTCTTCTGTTTTGTTTGTAACCCAAATTACTTTGAACTTATTTTGCCTTATTTAATTCTAAATTAAATCTATACTTATTTTTAGCGGTTATATTGTAATTTTGGTCACGATTTCTCACTAACAGAAGGTAAGTGTTATATTAGAGAACGTATGTAAAACAAAATCGGTTTGGTTGGTTTTTTCTTAATTTGAAAATGGGAACCGGTTTTTTTCAAATTACCTTTTTCCGAAAAACCGGTTTTGAAAAAGAGGATAATCGAACACTCTAGTATAAGGCAAAAACTTATTCACACGTATGTAGTTATATTTTCATGCATTTTCCTACATATATATTTGCACATCTATACGCATTTTTAAGCTTTCCCTTCATAAATATCGTCGTTTAAAGTACAAAACCGCGTATCGTAATTCTGCAAAACCGCTTAACTGACATTGGCTGCCAAAAATTGGATTTGCTCACACAAGCTCTTGGCTCAATCCTTATCCATTCGTCCTGAAATATACTAGCCAGAAATGCGATTGCTTTATAAAAAGAGAACCATTTTGAAATATGAGTGTTTTACGCTCTAGAAAATAACTTCTACAAGTTCAATTACGCGGTTTTGAGTGTTTTTACTCTCTAGAAGATAATTTATGCAGCTTCACAAACGCGGTTTTTCATTTTGCTGATACGCGGTCCTGTACTTTAAACAACGAAACTTTTTTTTGAGATAGGGCGTTTTCGAACTGGACGCCGAGATAGGTCCATCTTCCACTCAGCACTCGATATGTTGTCAAATAACTGACGCATCCTTTATATATGTACATATACATATCGTCGTTTAAAGTACAAGACAGCGTATCAGCAAAATGAAAAACTTCGTCAGCAGTCGATATCGACTTATAAACTTGAATTTACGTAGTCCATAGAAAATTTACTAAATTTCTTTGAAACTTTTAGAGTCAAGCCAGTGACTAATACCTATATATTTATCTAACAAAGACAGCGTTAGCGGCATTTACTTGTCTCAATTTTCTGTCAGAATCATTTGTATACCCCGAACTAATGCACTTCGTCCATATGCGTCGTTAGTCTGGACATTTTTTTTGCTCTTAGAGAATCAGGGGTATTATGGGAATTTTAACTGGTCCCACATTTAGCAACGCCTCATATATAGTCATCCAAATGATTAAAATCTGCATGGCTGGATAGCCATAGCTCTGGAGATATGGGATCATGAAAATTCTCCGATCTCCAATTTTCCGTCTTCATGGCCATGTGTGAAGGAGAAGAGGCCTGTTGGATTACGAATTGTCTCCCTTCACGTATACTCTCTATCAGCTGTGAACCTTCTTAAACCTCGACGTGTGAAATATCATGTTTTTTGGGGGGAAAAATTGAATGGCATGGCATGTCCTTCCTTGCTCACAACCCTCTAATCCATAACAGTCGCCGGAAACTTTAATGCTTAAGGAAGAACTCTTTTGTGTTCGATCACACTGAAGCCAGATATAATGTGTGGCCTCACATGAATTGTCTCCTTTGTGCTGCAGTAAATCCTTACTTATTTACGACCTTAACCTATATAGGTAAATTTTAGTCTCGACAACCCTTATTTTTTACTAAGTTAAAACAAAGCAACAAATTAAGCTTTAGATACTTTTTTTGCAACAAAAACTAACAGCCAACACCGGACAACTTCAGTCCATCTGTGGTATATAAAAATATAGCTGAAGTATACTTTAGCTCACAGCAACTCCTTCACTTTTACTTGCGCAAAACTTCTTCTCTAGTTACTTATTCATTCACGCTCATAATGTGGTTTTATTACTTAGTAGCCGTTTAATTAAATAAAAATACATAACACGCATATAAGAGCAGAATATAGAGCAGGATGGTAAAAAAAAGAAAGAAATAAAAAATAAAAAGAATTAAGCAAGTTTGATGAGCCTGTGAAGTGGCCACTTTACTTAATCAAGCCATGACTTCAACTTACAGAAACTTTAACTTGTTTTGCCTTTCCAATTTTACGAAGAAACGCAATTTTCTGCTGCGCTCTTTTCTTAAGCTGTGAGCTTATTAGCTAGACTACTGAGATTTTCTTTTACTTTTTATCCCTTTTTTTATTTTTTGTATTGCGCTTTGCAGAAAAGGGGTAAAGAAAAAGTTATTTCCGTTTTGTTAATGTTGAGTGGAGAGTTGGAGGAGGGGGGGGGGGGGGGGGGGGCAGGTAATGAGCAGTGCGATAAAAGTTTTGCTGCATTTTAATAGAACTTAAGGCCAAAGCTGACCTGCCTGCTTTATGGACTCACTTAATATTTTCTTTCTTTTTATTTT